AACACAGAGGCTGTCAGTGTGGCTCTGGAACACAGACACCAGGTGCAGCCTCCCACGGGCTTCTCCAGCAGCCACGTGGTCAGCAAGGCTGCTCTGTGTCTTGATCTATAGCAACGGCTCTTAGATGGCCTGCGGGAAGCAGACACCCTCAGTCAGCTACTCATGGCAGGTCCTCTCTGCCACTGCTGCTCAAACATGCCATGCTAGTTTGTATTTGGAATCATAGCAATGGATCATATTTGTGTTTGTTTAGTTTTTAGATGCAGGTATCATAGTACTATCTGGGAGCTCTGTTTCCTCAGTTGGAACCTCAGGATGGTGTTGGGAGGTGGTGTCGTGGAGGAAGATCAGCCCAGGTCAGAGTCAGACCTGGCTTGGATCTGGAATTGATGTGTTAGAAGTTGTGTGATCTTGGGCAAGTTTGTAACTTTGAGCCTTACTTACCTCATCTGTGAAATGACCTTGCCATATTATTTGAAGATCCTGTGAGCTAATGTATATGAAGGACTTAGCTTTCTGCCTGGCACATGGTGGGCCCAGGCTGGGTTTTCATTAGGTCTGATAATAAATCAGGCAGTGTGAAAGTCATGTGTTCTTTGACAGACTTCTGATGTACCTTTAAACATGTTATTGGAACAAGATTAAGATGTGTTTGAAATAGTAGCTAATGCAGCCCAAACGTCTCTTGTGTATGTTATCACATTGTGGTGATATGGAGGCCTTGTTTCTGACTCAGGTCTGTTAGTGGACCAAGATGCGCTGGTGGAAGCTCTTCAGACTGGGGTCATAAGAGCCGCGGCACTGGATGTGACATACCCGGAACCCCTGCCAAGGTACCAAAGCCAAGCGAAATCTACAAGAATTCCTTGACAGAAGGCAGGCAGGGTCCTCAGACGATTGCTTCTGTTGGTCTTTGTGGCCCTACTGAGTCACATAGCCAGGTCTTGGCCTTGGAGGGGCCTGTCCTGAGGGGCAGCAGGTGCACCTGCAGCTGTCCAGCCTCTGCCTCAGCTCCTCCGTGTATAGGAGCCTCATTAAACCCTTAGCTCATTGTTTTTAGTCAGATAAATTTTTTGTCCCCTCAATTGTTTTTTAAGTATATGTATGGAATTTTATTTATTTTAGTTTAATTTCATTTGCTTATGTGTTTTGACCTAGTGATCCAGCCTGTTAGAACCAGAGTCTTGACTCTGTCATTTATTCAACTAACTATTCCTCCTAGCTTTGTTTTCTATCCAGTAGACAAATTACTGTCAGCTGAATGTTTGACATTAAAGCCAAACTTGATATCTAAGTTAAGATCTACGATAGAACATATAGCCATTTCTGAAAAAACAATACTTTATCTAGAACAGAGGTTCTCAAAGTGTGGTCTAGAGACCCCTTATGGATCTGTGATGTCACTGCTACTTTCATGAGACTGTAAGATGTGATTTACATTTTCACTCATGTTTTCTCACGAGTGTACAGTGGATGAAGTCATCACTCTGACAGTGAATGGTGTGTGTGCTTCTATATTACTGAATTTAAATTTCCTCAGTTTTGATTTCTAATACAGTACTGGTTATAGTCCACATAAGCAAATGTTCTTTGGGGTTCGCAATTTTTTTAAGAGTATAAAGAAGTCCTGAGACCAAAAGTTTGAGAACCACTGATCTAGAACAGAAAATAATTTCAATATAAGTTAGGAAGCATGAGCATTTTAGACAGTTGTCAACATACTTGGAAACCTAGAAGTCCCATGATCATCCCTATTGTCTGTTCTGTTCAAATGATCTTTTTATTAGATTCACAAATAAGTCACAGGGCAAATCCCAGGGTCAAATCCCAAAGTTTAGTTTAACCTAATAACTGCTACCCACCCAGCTCCCATTGTCCCATGTGGAATCATTTTACTGGCCAAGAGATTTAGCAATTGTTTTATAAATAATTTAATCTTCTGATGTCCATGTTAATTTCTAATCTCTATATTATCACAGTCAGAAATGCTTGAGTTTTCGTTTTGATTTTTGGGGAGAGTTTTGTGGATTTTTTTTCATTTTCATTTTTGCTGCTTACCACAGGTGTGCACTACTATGAAAAAAAAATTTTAATGTAGGAAATTTAGGGTTACTTAATGATACTACATAAGTATTCTTTGCTTTGCAAAAGCATTACTACAAGATTATTTTAAAAAATAAAAATTTAATTTGCCAGCGGTGCCAGGTGTCTCCAAGATCACCCCTAGACTTAATGATCTGTGAGAAGGACTCACAGAACTCAGAAAAGCCATTACACTCACAGTTACAGGTCATTACAGTGAAAGGATACAGACTGAAATCAGCACAGGTAAAGGTGCATGGCGTGGAGTCCAGGAGAGGCCAAGCCTGAGCTTCCAGCCGTCTCTTCCCAGTGGAGGTTTATTAGTTTAACCTATAAGCACGGATGTTGCTTATACTTCCAGCAGTGATGTGGAACACACATGAAGTGTTTTGCACTAGGTAAACTTGCCTGAGCCTTGGTGTCCAGAAGTAGGCTCAGTGCCTGCATGTCTAACCTTAGCTACTTGGTCTCCAGTCCCTCCAGAGGTCACACTGATGCAGCATGGCCCAAGTGAACAAAACAGTCACTCATAAATTACAATTTTAGCATAAACTATCCAGCATTGTACAAAGCCCAAGTATAAAAAGACACTCTTATCAGGCAGGATATCTCAAGGACTCAGAGGTTATCTCCCAGGAGCTGGTCAAGGGCCAGTCCTTCTTGGAAACATGCAGAGTTTGGAGCACCCCATGCCTGCCTGCTTAGTTGACCCTTTAAGGCACAGGCCATCCCCCTGGCCATTGGCCTAGGCGGACTTATAGCAATCATATTTCTTTGAGCATCTACATTTAGTATAATATTTATTTGGCAGATATAGCAGAAGTATCAGTGTGACTATGCCTGGCATTTGGAGGAGGCATGTGGGGCAGTAATATTTAAAGACACAACTAACTCATCCTATAAAGCCATTACATACATTTTTGTGTTTTTGAACCAGCCTGACTACTTGTTTCTCCCTTGGTCTACTGGTATTTACAACTTATGATGACCATGTGCAGAACTTTTTAGCATAGAAACTAGATGATATTTAGCTAAATCCAGTTTTGCCTCAGGACAGTCATTTTCCATGGGTATTATATCCGAGGAGGCTTTAACTCAGTCTCCTGATACAATTGATCATCAATATCAGTGTTTTGTTTGGCTTATTTACATAGAGTAATTGAATCTTACCCACAATACCAGTGTTACAATGTATCACAATATGGTAATGGTACAACTCATTTTCATTACAGATCGTTAAGAATTGTGGAGGTATTTACTATGCCTTCCCAACAGAAGCAGCCCTTGCCTGCATACCACATACTAGTATGGACAGGTGTTGGTATAACTGGTCATGATTTGGTTATTTCTGGGTTCCAAGTCAGTTGGGACAGAGTCTGTCACCCTGTCTCTGTTCACAGGCTTGTACCAAGACTGGTTTCCAGTGTGTGCTTCTGTACAGCAGGCCCACCTCCTTCCTCTGGGGAGGACGTGGGTGTTATTCGGAATAGCTCCTATCCCCGCTAACTATATAGGGCAGGATATGTCTTATTTCAGTCAGTCCTGCTGTGAGGGTAGTCACGGTGTAAAGTGCAAGCAGCCCAGAGAACTTGCAACAATCTGGGGGTCCATAAAGTTCCCTTAGGTATGCCCCTTGAGCCTCAGCAGCTAGAATAGGGGGCCACTGCCTCGTGGTGACTTCAGTCTCTGTATTAAAATAGTCAAGAGACCCTGCTGGGTGAGGTCATGCCTGTTACCAATGCATCTTTCCAGCTTGACTTCCATCCTGTGCCTTTCTCTTGGAAGAGAACTCCCTCTCATCTGCCAATTCAAGTTAGTAAATCTTTTCCCTCCGAATGCACTTCTCACTGAAAGCGAATTCAGCTTGTCCTATAGTGCCTAGACCGGCAGCCGTCTCCCGAGGCCGTCTTCTGGGCCAGTGTGTTTAGTCCTCCTTGTGAGTTGTGCCCTGTGCACTAATGGCCAAGTGCACTTGGGGAATGTTTTGTCCCCCAGCATGCTAGGCTTCCTATATAGGGTCAGGTGGTGGTGGTTGAGAAGGTGTGTGAAGTTGAGATCAGACAACTCTGAGCAGTTTCCTCCATTAATCTGTATTTCAGAGACCATCCTTTGTTGACGGTGAAGAACATCACTCTGACACCTCACATTGGAAGTGCCACTCACCAAGCCAGACGACAAATTATGGAGAATTTGGTTGAAAGCATCCTAGCTGCTGTCAGTGGCCTTCCCATTCCTCGTGAAGTGCTACCTAAGTGATTTTGTGGACTTAAACTTAGATGAAAACATTGCAGATTAAATGGGGAAAACCATATTTTGTGTCCTCTATTATGTGGATCCGTTGTACAGGCTGCTTTGATGTTTACAGAGGTCCTGCTAAGGGCGTCAATTCCGTCACCTCTCTCTGTCCTCGAGACTGCTCTGGGAGAAGGCTCTCTGTCACCGTTCGTAACTGAGCAGAGAGAGGAACAGCCTGTCTGAGGTCCCGCAGGCTGCCAGTGGCTGCATCTGGATGAGAACCCTGGGCCAGGTCCGTGAGTGGCCGGTGGCTGCCACCTCGCGGGCTGCTCAGCTCCGGCAGCTGCTCGGACGCCTCTTGCCCCGGGCGCCTTCGGAGCCAGGGACAGGGCTGCGCACATGGTGAGGGGACGTCGCCGGGAGCGCCAGCACGCACCTCCTGTGTGGCGTCGGCCGCCTTTCCAGGTCAGCGCCGTGCTTCCAAATGAGCCACCTCTCTCCCGCGCCTCCCTCAGCCCCGCCCACAGCCGCTCCAGCCCTGCCCTGTTCCCCGCCCCGCCCACAGCAGCTCCGACCCCGCCCACACGCCGCCGCTCCGCCCACACGCCGTCGTCCCGCCCACGCGCCGCCGCTACGCCCGCACGCAGTTGTCCAGTCGCGCGCCCTCGCCGTCGTCTCACGGCATGTGGGCCTCGGCAGTCGCGCCGTGGGTCCCCCGTGTGGGTGTTCGGTTGCTTTGTGGCCGCCATGCCGCTGTCCTTCCGGGCCGCGCGCGGGATCTGCATGGCTCCGCCGTCTCCTGCGGCAGCAAGAATTTGCTCAAGAAATTTGCCTCGAAAACCAAGTAATGCGCCGCGGGGTCGGGGTCCGCGGGGGTCGGGGTCCGCGGGGTCGGCCCCGCCGGGAGGGCGCTGTTCCTGGGCGAGCCTCTCACGCGGCGGGGCGGCGCAGCTCAGTGTCACCTGAGAGGAGCGACGGGCCGTGTGGGCAGACCCGCTCCGGGACAGCGGCCCCTCAGGAGGGAGGAGGAGGGGGCAGGGGTCTGCTCCGTGTTAGTGCCGGTTCTGTGTGGGTCCGACTGGATGAATGAGGCGTGTCGGGACAGTTAGTTCTTTTGATGATGGAAGGTGAGTGCGGACAGATGTGCTGATGTCCACGCGCGTCTGGTTGTGTGGGTGGGGTGCTGTGTGTCCCTTGCTTGGCTCTGGTAGTCTGTCTCTGAAGTGGCTTCAGCTTTGCCCAACGTTCCGAGCCGGGGCAACGGGGCCCGCCTGCTGCACCTGCTCCCGGTCGCCGCTGGCGGCTGCCACCGATGTGAAAAGATCCTGACATGGTGGTGTTCACTGAGGCCCACACTCTGCATTCCCTAGGTTCTTACCTAATGTCCTTTCCTGTCCCAGGACCCCGTCCACGTCGTCTCCTTTGGCTCCTCTTGGCTGTGACAGTGTTGCACATTTTCCTTGCTTCTGCTGAGTGTCGGTTCTGAGTACTGGTTGGGTATTTTATAGGATGCCCTTGGAATTTGATGTTCTTTTCGTGATTAGACACGGGTTATGGATTTGGGGGAGGAAGACTACGGAGGTGAAGTGCTATTTTCATCATATTCTGTCAAGGGCACATATTATCAGCGTGACTGTGCCTGTTGATTTTGGCCTTGATCACCTGACCAAGGTGTGTTTTTCAGGTTTCCCCACCATAAAGGTACTCTTCTTAACCCCTTCCATACTGTATTTATTACAAGATGCTCCAGGTCCATCCTGTGTATCTCCTGCCTCAGCCCTAGAATCAGCCATTTCTCCGAGGAGCCCTGGTTCCTTTTGTTGGAGGGTGGTGTTAGGAACCATGATCTGGGTGTCTGTCTTTAGGGCCCTCTCATCTGACAAACAGAAAATACATCTGTTTATACTAACTCATATATACACTCACCTATAAACGTTTCCACGTTTAACCATCTATCTCCAACTCTCTCACACTGCCAGCTGCATCATTCCAGCCTGTCTTTGCTCATACTTAACACCGTGCAGCAGTGAGAAGCCTGGTTCCCACCATCCACCACCATTTACTCATCTGTGCAGTCTTAAGCCTATAGTTTAAGCCTATAGCAGCATCAGAACCCTTAACTTGTACCTCCATGGGGAACAAGTTTATCAACTATATTGCTTGTGTACAGTTTGGTAGGTACGTTTTAAAGATCCTCTTGGGAGTAGAAGTAAACTTTAACTAAAAATTATGAGGTTGAGTTAAAACTGTCTTCTGTCCCTTCCCCACAACACGTTGTTAATTAAATATCAAAATTGGGGCTGGCCCGTGGCTCACTTGGGAGAGTGTGGTGCTGATAACACCAAGGCCACGGGTTCGGATCCCATATAGGGATGGCCGGTTAGCTCACTGGGCGAGCTTAGTGCTGACAACACCAAGTCAAGGGTTAAGATCCCCTTACCGGTCATCTTTAAAAAAAAAAAAAAAAAAATATATATATATATATATATATATATATAAATTGTTTTAGATCCCCAGTGACATAATTTCTTTTTCTAAATTTAGCTCCTTATGAACACTTGTGGGTCGTATAATCTTTTGAGTTAGCTTATGTAAGTTTTTCTTCTTAGGTTACCATCATTGTCCAACATAATTTTTATTTTCTCCTTTCAGAAAAAAGTTTTGGTATGAAGGTCCTTCCTTGGGATCCCACCTGGTAAGTACACAATGGCAATAATAAGCCACTTTGTGATCTTGCTGGCAGTGAGATTTTAAAAGTTGGCAAAGTTCTTCCTGGAAGTCTTTGCATTTCTGTATTAGCGGGGACAGTATCTGGATGGCACAGGTTGCCATTGGTAATGTGGAACTTTGACCTTTTCAAAAAATATTTAGTGACCCTAAAATTTTCTAGAATGTCGTATCTATTATCAAATTCTAATATAGTAACATCCATTTAGTTTTTAGTGTGTGTGTATGTATGCTGTAAAAGTTTATACAGTAAATGGCTTCTATTAGAAAAAATGAATAGTACTGAATTTTACATTTTAACAAAATGAATTTTATGGTATATGAATTACAGCTCAATTAAAAATTTTTAAAAATATATACTGGCAGTACTTTTAATCTTGCAGGGATGCTAGGTAAAATATAGAAAGGATCCGGGTCTGATAAACAAACTTTGTCCTAATGAAAACTAAGCTGGCTGAAAGCAGTGTTTGATTATCCAGCTGCTTGTTAAGTCCTTCCCCAGCCCCCTTTGTGTAAGTTTGTAAAGCTCAGTGTACAGTTGTAATGTTGGCCTTGGTGTGTGCTTTTTTTCTTAATGGAGACTTACAAACCATCCAAGTTGGAATTGCTAATGACGAGTACCTCAAAGAAAACCAGGAAGGAAGACCACGTGCGTCTGAGGGCCCTGAATGGCCTCCTCTACAAAGCGCTGACTGACCTGCTGTGCACCCCTGAAGTGAGTCAGGAGGTCTACGACCTGAACGTGGAGCTCTCCAAGGTAGGCTGCAAGCTGGAAGGGAAGAAATCTGGCCAAGGGCGGCAGGCCTGGCACTTAGGTCACATGGCATGGTCTCGCCTGAGAACTTAAAAAAGGCGCCTTATCACTCCCAAGGTCTTAGTTTGGGGTTGCAGAAATGATATTAAGTCTGGTCATTTAAGTACTGGTGACAGATGGAGGGTGTCTGTGTTGTGGTGCAAAAGCAGATGGTTTCACTGCACATAGTTGTGGGGACCTTTGCCCAGACACACCTGGTACAAAGACAGACATTTGGTCAGTGTGATGAGGTGAAATATTAGAATGTGTGAGGACATGGTGAGAAGTGGATTCACCTGCTTTTATCTCAGCATAGAGATACAGGAGATGATTTCTTCCAGCCCACGTGGAGTGAGTTAGCCGTGGTCAACCATAAGGAGAATAAGTAGCAGTTGGACATTTTCCATGAGCATCTTGGGGCACATTGTCTGTGAAGCAGGTGCTATGGTGTCGGGTTGGTTAACCGGGTGGATTCCGGGACCTGGAGAAAAGGGGGGTGAGTTTTGGTTTCTGCGGCCCTACTTAAGCAGCTGTGAGCACTCTGCAGCAGCAGACAGTGGCCTCCAACAGTACACTGCTGGAACACTAGCTTTTCGGGTGGGAAGGGCTCTGAAGTGGTAGTTTTCATTTCCTAAATGTTGTTTGTCTAGAAAACCCATGTGAACTAAATAGCAATTTGTGGTTGGGATGGGTTGGTCTCAGGTGTCTCTGACTTCAGACTTCTCTGCCTGCCGTGTGTATTGGAAGACGACTCTCTCTGCTGAACGGAACAAGCATGCAGCAACCGTCCTGCAGAAAAGTGCCGCATACATGAGGTGATGATGTTTGCTTTCTCAGTGCATCAGCTTTGTGCCTGAACCTTAAATTTCACAGCTATCTCACTTGTAGGTGGATTTTCTTAATTTCTCATTAAGTATAACATGCATTTTCTTTTCTTTTTTTTTTTGTCTTTTTGTCTTTTTTTTCGTGACCGGCAACGGATCACAACCCTCAGTGTCGCGCCCGTACCGGACCAGGACTGGCAACGGGATCGCAGCCCTCGGTGTTGCCCCCGCTCCTCGCTCAGCCAGTGAGCGGCCAGTCTGTATGTGGGATCCGAACCCTGGGCGGGAGCGCCGCCGCGCTTCCCAAGCGGTGCACTGTAGCAGTGCGCCACTGGGCCGGCCCGATAACATGCATTTTCTTGTAAGCCATAATCTAGGTCAGATTTCTCAAATTGTGGTCCTTGATCCTTAGGGATTAGAGATCCTTTCAGGGGCTTTGTGAGGTTAAAACTATTTCAGTAGTACTAAGATGGTATTTACCTCTCTCACTGTGTTGACGTTTGCCCTGAAGGTGCAGAAGCCATGGTGGGAGAACTGCTTATTCATTCATTAGGGGGAGGGGATAGATGTTGAGAGGTCAGTCATGTGGAACTTGGTTCAGACAGAAACTTCTAGTACTTTCACATACCATCTACTCAAGCTTTCCTGCATCATCTCTCTGATACCTGTTACCATAATCCCCAAGAGACTCTGAAATTGTGCATCAAGAGTGGTCCATTTCACCAAAAACAAGAAAATGGGAGGTGTTAACCAGTGCCGAAGAGGCAGCATTGTTTTCTGATGTTTAGGCAGTCAGAAAATTAGGTTGAGCTGAACATCTGTCTTCCCTGCTCTGTGGTCACCCACGGTTTAATGTCAAGAGTTTTTCATAGCTGTGAACCAAAGATCTGTGGTCCATTTTTCACTGGACATACGTGCTGTGCCTGGATGTGACCCCATGTGTTTGTATTGCATGACTAAGTAACACAGAGGTTGTTTCTGCACCTGGTGTCTGGGTACTGAGGAGTGTGCCAGTGGATGTCACTGGATGGAGGACAAGCTGTTAGTGTCCAGGCCCTGGTGCCCAAGCAATGGGTGGTGCTAGAAACAAGATGTGTGATGACCTCACTATGAGGCAAGAGATGAGATCTGCTTATCGTGCTACTCAAAAATGACAAAAAAGTCCTCTTTAGCCAACTGCCACATCAAGAAAGGGGTGCACAGTGCATCACGACCACAATTGTTTTTACTTCTCTCAATGCAGCTTTTGAGATCCTTACAGACACCTGATCTGAGCACACCTCTCTGCTGACTGTCCTGGCTGTGTTCTCTCTCTTCAGGCACCTGTTGATGTCCCAGCAGACCCTGAGGAATGTGCCACCTATAGTGTTTGTGCAAGACAAGGGAAATGCAGCTCTCGCTGAGGTAGGGCTGTTAAACAATTGACTTCTTATAACCTACGCTTTTATTTGAGTAAAATTTTACGTTCAAGTTAATTTGTAAATACTTAAAAGATAACGTACGGTTTAAAAAAAACCAAAACACCAAGAAGGGTACAGATGAAAAGTAAGGCTCTGGTGCTCTCGAGGTGGCTGGAACTGCTGTACCCCTGTGCTTGCCTGTACGCCTCATTCCTGCTCTCGACGATGATCAGTCTGCTGTGATTTTACAGCGTAAGGCTTATGAGATCTGCATTCTGGGATGTAGCTAAAGTGCTTTTATCATTACTTTTCTTGCTTTAGAGATAGGTTAATTATAAAGGTTAAAAACCTGTAAATATATATATATATATATATGTTTACTTGGGAAAACCTTGGTAGTTACTAAGGTATGTTGTACCTTAAGAAAGTTTACCAAAAACCAGCAAATACCATTTACAATATTACATACAGTATTATAATTAGGTAACTGTTATTCACTATAGGACTAGATAGTATTTGGCTCCATGAAGAAAGATACCTAATTTGACATTTTTCCTTTTGTTACTCATTGTAGGGGTGACACTGAAAGCATTACACAAGTAATAACCTTGACAGATAATGTGATTGCCAGCTGTCAAGAATCTAGAACAGTGTAGGTGTGGAAGTGTGCCCTGAGGACACTCAGCATGGCATTCATCCGCACCCTCTGGTCCAGCTGCTGCCGCAAATCCCAATCCCTCCATCTGCGTCACACCCTATGACTCACCCCCGTCTCTGGGGTGGGGGTCCCACCATTCCAGAAACAGTCACTGGAGAGGGAAAGCAGGTGCTGTGTTGAAGCCAGTCCATGCTGGGAGGCAGAACCTGTGTGTATGCTTTTCTGCCTGGTTAGGACATCCCTGCAGGCAGCTGGACAGGAGGTGAAGTTTCGGGCAGTGGCCCCTGGCGTGGACAGCATCACACTTGCCCTGCTGACAAGCAGTTTCCATTTTTAGTTTAGGTCCCTCAAGTGCGGAGCCCGGCTCCTAACTTCTGTGGCTTGTAACTTTGTGACTTTCCTGAACACAAATTCTGTGGCAGAACTAAGACATTTTACAGTACTACATTAGAAACCAGCAAATGTTAGTTATTTAATTCAACTAGTGTTTCACTGGTTTCTCCATAAGTTTGACTAACATTTACAAGTTTTAAATGTAGTTTTAACAAAGTTTTGCTCATTCTCAGAGAAAATGTGAAATGTTAAAAAAAACAAAAAAAGTAAGGCATTTGAAAGCACGGGCTAATGAAGAGGCCCCAATATTTGGGAAGGCCCCAAAGGAATGATGTGGAGTCCAGCCAGGGAACAGCTTGGGCAGTACGTGTGAAGTCTGCATTCGAGCCGTGGGCCTGGCAGGAGTGGGTGCCCACGCCTCAGTCTTTGCGTTTTCCTTTTCAGGTGGATCGGTTGCTGGCAGTAGCTGACTTTGGGCCCCCAGATGAAAGAGACAACTTTGCACAAAATGATTTCAGGTGGTGCATGTGTTTCCATCTCTTGGGGCAGATTCCTGGGCGTGGAATTGCTGTTTCCCACAGTGGCCATCCTTGCCAACCTGTGCTGTCCCCAGGGCCCCGCCCGTGTCACACGCAGCAGGCCTAAGTTGTGGCCTGGTGTTTGCACTGCAAGGGCCTCTGGTTGCCCAGAAGTGTCTGCCCTGACTTGTGAGGAGAGGGGTCTCTTGCATGTCTCCCTTTTCTTCTTCATGCACTCCATATGTTTTTATTGAGTGCCTCCTGTATGCAAGGCCTGGTCCTAGCACTTAGGCTGCATCTGTGAACAAAAGAGAGAGCTGTCCTTGTCTTTGGAGGCTGTGTTTTGCTGGGGGTGGGGGACAGGAAGCAACAGGCAACACACGTGTGTCAGTCAAGTGGTAGGAGAAGTGTGGCAAGGTGGGGGTCGGGAGGGCCAGTGGGCAGCACAGGGTATGCCTCTGAGGAGGTGACCTGACCAAGTCTGCAGGACACAGGGGTGTTTGTGGACGGGACCCCGTTCCAGGCATGGGACCTCCAGCACAGGTCTCTCCTGGGTTCCTTGGACCAGCAGTGTCTGTGTCACCTGGGCATTTGCCAGACCTGGGTGGGCCCAGAAGTAAGTTGCAGCTTAACTATCCCGTGGGTGCTTCCAATGCTATGGTTTGAGAACCACTGAGCTAGAGCAGAGACCCCATGCTGCACTGACCCTGGCATGTTCTGGACCAGCAGATGGGGCCAGCATGGGGGAGAAGTAGGTTGTCCCTGCCGGTGTTCTGCTCTCTGAGAACAGGCACCTTTCCTTTGGTTTGTCAAGTAACCTTAGTGATAGGTCTAACAGGCCCAAGCCCCAATTCTGGCCTGTTGGCTCTGACACCAAAACCAGACCCGCTTCCCCTCACTCCTGCCTCCAGATACCCAGATGGCCATTTGGAGAGCTCTCAAGCAAGCAGGGTGGGAGTCGCGAGCTGGCATCGGGGGCTTGGTGTGTGCTGGGTGTGAAGGCTCCTCTCCTCCTTCCCAGGGACCACGACGCCCCGTCACCGCACGACACCCTGGAACCTGCTGTGCACTCGTGTCTGTGTGGGATCAATCATGAGGTGCTCAACAAGCAAATAATGGAGTACAAGAGGAAGAGAGAGAAAGGGCTCGGGGGTGCAGGTCAGGCAGTGCCAGGGCCTGAGCAGCTGGCTGAGCTGGCAAAGCAGATGAGAAAGGGAAGGAAGAAGGCCAAGCCCCCCTCGGACCCTGACATCTCCCCCAGGAACTACCTGTTGGATGAGGAGGATGAAGGCCCTGACGATGGCCTGGGATACGCTGCAGCGGAGGAATCAGAGGCGGAGGTGGGGGAAGCAGAACGAATCTTGGTCACTGCTGCAGAACAGGGCAGGGGCAGACGGCGAGGCTCAGTGATACCGGAACGCGAACTCTGCTCGAGTGTGTCAGGGCAGGTATCACGGGAGGTGGTCTGACTTGGGCCAGCAGCTGGTGAAATTGAAGCTCCCGGCCAGCATCGTCTGCTGTCCTGCTGGTTCCATGTTTTGTGGCTTTTCCATGTGTCTAATCGTGATTTCCTACAGAATAGACACTGTTGTTTTTCCCCAACACTGTGTTATTTAAAAAATTAATGGCCATTTTATCACAGAGATTTTCACAAAAGTAAAAATAGTAAAATCATATCTCAGACACAGGCAGGGGCGCCTCCCCCTGCAGAGCTGGGCCCTGCACATCTGGGGAGAGCAGGGGTTCCCGGGGACCCCACGTTTCCAGAGCTGCTGAGCAGGCACTTGGCACTCGGGGCTTCATCCTATGACTGGCTCTTGAGTGCACCTTTGTGCTGTGGTTTCCACCCTCTCTGGAGACAGTGGTTGAGCAGAAAGCATGAGTTGGGTTAGGTGGGCTTCATGGTGACCCTGGCTGTGGTGGTAGCTGCCATCATGCTGATGTAACTCCAGCCAGCTAGTGTCCAGCAGGCTTGGGCTCTGCCTAGGAGTGTGTGGCTCTAAAACACAGCCATGAAAAGCTCCTGTCTGTTGTATTAAGTTCTTTGTGTCACCTTGGAGGCTAAGGCTTGTTTTACTGTTTATCAGAATAGAAAACATAAACTTCATGAGTCATTTTTGGGTTCAGCTCTCCTTCCTGCTCCCAGCTTCTCAGTGGTCAGGTGCTTAATTCTCTGCTGGCTGTGAACCAGCCCAGCCCTAGTTTCCTGTCAATATGGTAGAACCAAAGCTTACCTTACAGCATCACTGTGAGAGTCAGGACATCATGTGGAAGGTGTGTGTTTGGTGTCTGCACACAGTAGGTGCACACTAAGTGGACACTGTTATTAATGTCGAAAGT